TTTTGGAGAGATTTTCACTATAGGGCACGTGTGCTCGCCAGACAGAGAGAGACATTAGAGACAGAAAGCGAGCAATCACCCCCCAGGGGGGATGGTCACACCACAATCCCTTCTCCTCCATTCTCCTCTTGGGATCTTGGGCACGCACGCACACGCGCCCAGCATGAGTTTTAAGCCACCAGGTCCGGGACGCAAACCGCAGTTGACTATGTGGGAGTCCAGTGACATAGCCATTACACTAACTGCTGGTTCCCATGATTAGCCTTTCTGAGACCCTGAAGAGATGAAAGGAGAAGGAGGACCACAAAGAAACACTCGGCCAGGAGGCCAAGACCGTCGTAGCTATGGGTTTGAGTCTCTTCTCCAGGCTTGCTTCTTTCCTGTCCACCCCCCCACACACCCTCACAAGCACAGCCCCAGAGCCAGAGACCACAACACAGAGGCCTTTATAACCGTTTTCCTTTATTGTGCTTTAGTGAGGCACCCAGAAGTCTGGGGAGGGGGACAGAAATCGAGAACACAGAAAAGGATGGACTCCCTCTGCTTCCAATGGCCGCTGGGCCTGTCCTCTCTCTCCTGCTGCCTCCAGTTAGGCCCCTTCTTCTCCTGGGCCTGAAACGGGCCTGGTCCCTGAGTTGGCAGAGCTCTCCCAGAGGAGGCCTGCCCAGCACCACCACCGGCTACTGATTGGCCTCCCGGTACCGGTGCAGCAGGTCACTGACGTCTGAACTTTCCACTTTCACCCAACCATCTTCCTTCATGTGGTACACTGCGGGCAAACGAGAGGAGAGCAGAGTGCTTTTACCCAGCAAGTTCCTGGTCACGGTGTTATGTTGAAGGTGGTGACAACACACACACCCAACACCCTCAAAACCCTCATTACCGGGACTTCAAGGCCCCTCTTCTGACTCTGAAAACCTCCTCCCTTCCCCCAAGCCCTACCCCAGCCTCCCAGTCTGAAATCTCCCTCCCCAGCCCCTCGGGGAGGCCTTGGGAGCTTCAGTCTCTTACTGTTGACCACGCCTCCAGAATAGCTGTCCCTGTGGGTGGCATGAACAATAGCTCTGCGGCCCAGGTCGTAGGCCTCTTCCACGCTAAGATCAGGCCGGTAGCCGCTGTCCATGACCCCATAGGCATAACAGTTCCCACTCCCAGTGGAGAACATGTTCCCTGAGAGTCGAGTTCCATTTTCATCCACATAGTAGAGCCCAGGACCCTGTATAAGACAAGAAGGTTCCAGGCTGAAATTGGAGAGGGAGTTGTTGGTAACAGGGCTTCAAGTGGGAGTCATAAAAAGTGGATTAAAAACATGAAAATTCCCACAGGCCATTTGAATGAGGACAGCACTTTGGTTTAACAAACTTTTAGATGCAGCTATTTGAACAAAAGGAACGAGACTACAAGACAGACAAGGGTCCACACCTGGACCAAGAAACAGCCCGCGGACATACCGCAATGGTTCTAGAACCAAGCGTCCTCAGGCTGTGTATGGGGAGACAGGTCTCTGGCCGTGGTGGGGAACACGGAGAACATCAGGCTGTGTATGGGGAGACAGGTCTCTGGCAGCGGTGGGGAACACGGAGAAGGGAGAGCACCCACCTTCTTGTCCCAGCCACAGATCATGCTGCCCATGGAGAGGCCCATGCCCCGGTACTGGCACATCATGTTGGAGAGCAGTTTGGAGGCTGCCGACACTGAGATCCGCTCCCCGTTGCGCAGGTAGTACAGCCTGGGTGAGCACAAGGTATTGGCGGGAAGGAGGACTCAGAGATGGCGGAGAAGGTGGTCTCTCCCACTGAATGGGGCAGGGAACAGTTGATGAGATAAGCCTTTGAAAGCTCTAAGCATCTGGGGGAAAATCTGAAACCTCAAGAGTCTAAAATACATCAAGAAAGCCTGATAAATGATACTGTCCCACCAGGGTTGATGGTGTTAGTGCGCAGTGGTAAGTTACGTGGCTTACAGAAAGGAGCACAGCCTAAGGTGGGGGAGAAGGGATTGGCACTAAAAGACCAGGTGTGAAATGCCCTTTCTGCCCTAAGATAGACTCAAGGGTGAGTGGCCGGGATCTGGGAGGTCCAGGGATGGGCCCCTGGTCCTAGAAAGAAGGTCAGTGAGAAACCTGCCTCACCCCGCACCCACCTGCACTCCTTGGCCAGCAGGCGCTCCCAGTACTGACAGTCTGCAGCACAGCCAGACATGGTGCCCAGCAGGTACGGGTTAATCTCAATCACTTTATTCACTCGTAAAGTGGCTGAAAGAAGACAGAGTCTTGAGGATGGAGGGAAGACCACACCATCCAATGTGTGAGTCCTAAATCAATAACCACTTCCACTTTGGTGCACAGGGGGGCCCAGCGCCCCAGCTCTGCCAGTTAGAACACACACTCACCGATGTAATTCCCTGCTGAGGCCCGAGAATCCACAGCTACGATCACTCCGTGCTGGAACTTGAACGCCAGCGTGGTGGTGCCGTGGGCCATCTCAATCTGAATGTTCCCTTCTCTGTCCAGGGACTGGAAGAACTCGGTGGGCTGATAGGGAGAAGAGGTGAGAGGAACAGGCAATGAAACGTTTGTAGCAGAAGGCTCCAGGAAAGGGTTTTAGACAGGAGGGCGGTCAGGAGACACCCAGGAACTCTCACTTAATAATCAGTCCCTAGGAGAAATGGCTTTGGAGGAGAAAAGAACAGGCATGGGACACCAACCTTTCCATTTTCCAGCACGAGAGAAATGAAACAAAACAACATTGTCCCAACTGAAACTTTAAGGGTGAGTTTGTTTTTTCTCTGCATAGGCCATTCAGCCCTCACAAAGCAGGTCTAACAGTTTCCTCGTTTTTCTGAAGACCTAGACCAGGTCGCAGGGCGGTGAACTGCGGTGGGGAGGCTAGCGCCAGAGTTAGTGGTATTCAAAGGCGCTACGCAGGCCCCATATCACAGGGCAACCCTGAGAACTGCTTCGCGGCTTGTGCGTGGTGGCGAAAAGGCGGGGTAACTGTCGTCGGATAAGAGCCCGCATCTCATCTCTAACCAAATTTGCCCTAATCCGCACTTCCTAGCCCCAGGCTCCCATCCCAGCCTGGCCCCTCCTGTGTCAGCCTGGGCCTGGGGTTCCCGCCTCGGGACAGTCCCAAAGTAGACACCCTTCCCCCCCCTCGTTCTATTCCTCTGCGCCCTCAGCCCGCATCCTCCGGGGTTCCCGCGGCTCCCCGCAACCCTGACCTGCATCCCCCGCGGGAGGGCGAGCTCCGGAGACCGCATGGAGAAAGTGTAGTGTCCCAGGTCTGAGCGATCGCAGCTTCCTCCGACCTGGAAAGCCCAGTCCGGCACCTGCCCGCGCCGGGCTCCGCACACGTCCGACAGCGCCATGATCGCGGGGCACCGGAGATCGTCGGCTCTGGGCTCTCGGAGGAGGAAGCGAAAGCGAAAGCCAGGGCCGAGAGGGAGGGAGCCAGAGTTGTTTTCACATCCCCGGCTCTTTCCGAGAAAAGGAAAAGGCTGTCTGGACCAGGAATATCATGCTGGAGACAGGTTTCTGCCTTTACAGAGGTCGGGGAAACGACCGGAGGGAACTGTCCAAAGAGAAGGAGCGAGCGCCTTCGAAAGTCCCCTTGGCGATGGGTGACGGTGACCGACACCCACAGCCAGGGCATCCTCTGGACTCGGTTACGGGTGGGAGGGTCGTGTCCTCTAAGGGCACAGCCTCGCCCAGGAAGTTGGAAGTTGGCGAGGACCGGGGAGCAGTCCCACAGAGGGGGTGGTGGTTCTTAGGAGCATCATTTATAAAAATGGGGAGAGCTAGGAGGACGTGGGCACACTGAGTCTTAGGACAGGTCCTGGGGCCACTGATAACAGAACATTCCCGCAGCGTGTGGGGAAGGGGGCGCACAGGAGAGGGTGCAGTCTTTGACTCTTTCGGCCTGGTCCTTCACAGGGTCCCTCCGAATTCAACGGTCTACCTAACCTGCAGCCACCCACATGGCATGCCCTTTCCGCCCGCCCCTTCTTCCTGGTCCTAGCTGGGCTGAAGTCTGCTGCGATTAACCCCCGTAAACCCCGCCTCCTTTTGCAACCTGCATTGGCTTCTTCTGCCCAGCAACCGTTGACGTCACGGTACCCTGGCTCTCCGTGATAAGGCAAAGTTACTCGATACTCCCGCCCACTACCCGGAGATTACTCCGGCAGGTGTCTTGTAGGAGCCGGTGAGGCCAGTGAGCTGGTTAAGAGTGAGGCGCTACCAGTTCTTCTGCGCTCACGCTTGTACTTCCCCTAGCCGAGCCCGCCCTCCATTCCACCTCGGGAAGGCCCGGGCTCCGAACTGCTGCTGCTGGTGCCCTGGATGCACTGGGTCGGGGTCTTGCTGGTCATTGGGAGTGGGCGTGGGGAGACAAGGGAGAAGACGGTGCACTTAGGGCTGAAAAACAGAGGGAGGGGGACTCCCCTGGTGAAACTGTGTTGCAAAAGGCAGTGAGCAGGTCGGGGTGTCAGAAATAAGAAACCACAGTACAAAACACAAAATTTATTATAAATATCAAAGACACCTCAGGTTTATGGACAAGCATATACCTTTGGTCATTGAAAATAGCTCATTCTCCTGTTCTGAACATTCTGAGTCATTTTTCCTTAATTTCACAGAACTATCCACATCACAACAGCAACCCCAGCTCTAAGCCCAGTTACAGGAAGGAGTTAGATGTCTTCCAGGAAGTCCGCATTCTCAAGAGGAGCTTGGAGAAAAGGTAACATTCGCATCAGCTTCCAGGCATCCCATATAGGGTAACTCCTCCTAGAAGGAGCTGCCTACTCTCCAGCTCTGGTAAGATCTTCGTTCCCAGCTTCCCCACCACCAATTGGAGAAGGAACGGAAAGGAGATAGTGAGTGCAGGTCCAGGGAGCCTTTCATTCTGGAGCACCCTCAGGAGCCTGCACCATGGCCCAGTAGCGCCCCTTCTTCTCCATGAGCTGCTGGTGGGTCCCCGCCTCACAAATAATGCCTCCCTCCAGGAAGAGGATGTGGTCAGCCTGCTCCACCAAGCTGAGACTCTGGGTGATGATAAGCACAGCGCGAGAGCTCCGCTCCGGGCTCTCATACAGGAGCTGCTCCACCTACAGAAGACAGAGACCCTGTCAGAGCTGAGGACTTCTTGCAGCCCCAAGAGGATCTGTGTTCCCAGGGCTGGGGCAGACCTCTTAGCATTTCTGATGCCTCTGCCAAGGACAAAGAAGATTCCAGTCCATGGGCTTCTCTGCCAAACCTTTGTTTTGTGAAGGCCTGCTTACGGGAGGTATCAACGTGAAATAAAAGTAAGAGTCCTATGGTGAAAACAAAGCGTAACAAGTACTCTCTCCTCTCTGCCCATAGACTGGGAGTTTTTATATCAGATTTTAAGAAAATATAACTAAGTAGCAAAAAACATGAGTATTTGAGTCAGACAGACTTGCATGTGAATCTGGGGCCTACTAGCGTGTCTGGCACATAGCACAGCTTAATATTCATATTATGAGGATGTCTTTTCCTGATGTTGGTTTTAAAGATTTAGTGTATGTTGATAGTCTCTTTTACCCAGTTTTAGGTGTCCTGGGGAGAAGCTAATGGGAACAGAGAATTATAAGGACTGGTTTGGATAATTACGATAGTAAAACTGACAGGATGAGTAAATAAAACTGGGTGGGATATAGGCATTAAGAAGATGACTCTCGGGGTTGAGACCAGCAGTTGGCGTAATGGCTATGTCGCAGGACTCCCACGTAGTCGACCACGGTTCGTGTCCCAGACCCGGTGGCTTAAAACTCACGCCAGGCACAGGTGCGTGCGTGCCCAAGGTCCCGAGAGGAGAATGGAGGAGAAGGGATTGCGGCGTGGTCATCCCCCCTGGGGGGTGATTTCTCCCTTTCTGTCTCTCTGTCTCTCTCTGTCTGGCGAGCGCACGCGCCCTAGAATGAAAAACCTCTCCAAAAAAAAAAAAAAACAATGATTCTCGGGACCAGCAGTTGGCGTAATGGCTATGTCGCAGGACTCCCACGTAGTCGACCACGGTTCGTGTCCCAGACCCGGTGGCTTAAAACTCACGCCAGGCACAGGTGCGTGCGTGCCCAAGGTCCCGAGAGGAGAATGGAGGAGAAGGGATTGCGGCGTGGTCATCCCCCCTGGGGGGTGATTTCTCCCTTTCTGTCTCTCTGTCTCTCTCTGTCTGGCGAGCGCACGCGCCCTAGAATGAAAAACCTCTCCAAAAAAAAAAAGATGACTCTCTCTCTTGGGTGGACCCAGTAGCTCAGCAGTTAAGGGATCCAGATTCCACATGGCTGATCACAATTTGAATCATGGTCCTAGGAGCTTAAAAAGCACAGCAAGTACATGTGGGTGAGCACCCCAAATCGTCACAGAATAGAGAAGTGAAGAAAAAGGACTATGGCATGACCACGTCCCACGGGGGTGGGGGAGGAATCTCTCTCTCTCACTCTCTCTCTCTCCACCCAGTAAGCATACATGCCCTTTGGCAAAACAAGAAAAAAATAAATAAAAATAAAATTTTAAAAAAGAAAGATGAGGGGCCAGCAGGTGGCATGGTTAGGTTAGGGCATGGGACTCCCACATGGCTAACTGTGGTTTGAGTCCCAGACCTGGCAGCTTGCTTTCTCACTCCCTCCCTCTTTCTCTGTCTTTCTCTGGTGAGCACACATGCAGTACAGCAAATTTAAAATAATAATACAATTTTAAAAATAAAAGATGACCCTCTCACCCGTAATTGGCTGTCTGCATCCAGGGCACTGGTGGCATCGTCCAGGATGAGTACACGTGGTTTCCGGATCAATGCCCGAGCCAAGGCCACTGCCTGTCGCTGACCCCCTGACAGCTGGCTCCCAGACTCACCCACCTCTGCGGAGACAAGAGCCAAGATGAGAGCCGGATGCCCGCACATGTGCACTCACACACAGTGAGGACTGAAGACGAGTTGGCTAGGGGACGTTCTGGAGGGAGGAACACAGGCCTGAGGATGTGACAATGAAGAAGCCACAGAAACAAGATCTTGCAACTTCCAATTGGCACACGTGGGGCAGGAGGAACTGACGAATACTGGGGTTTCAGCAAAGGTAAAGAAGTCTGGTGTGAGCACAGTGGAGGGAGTACCTGTGTCGTAGCCCTGAGGAAGTCCAGAGATAAAATGATGGGCCCCGGATTCCATTGCTGCAGCTATGATTTCCGTCATAGCTGGTTTCTGGACCAGGCCATAGGCAATATTTTCTTGAAGACTTCTTCCAAAGAGCTGTGGCTCTTGTCCCACTGAAGCCACCTAAGAGACCATATGATGAAGACTCAGAACAAGGAGCACAGAAGTATGGTTATCTGGAAAGACGGAAGACACCAAGTCTTGACTGAGAGCATATCTCAAAATCACATGCCCATCCTCTGCGCTCCCATCTCCCCCGATCGCTCACCATTCCCGAACCCCTCAGAGTGCTCAGTGAGAATTCTCTTCTCACGTCATGCTCCCCACCCTCCCCCACGCCGTCTTCAGGCCCACCTGGCTGTGCAGGTAGTGGTGCTCGTACTGAGGAAGGGGCTCCCCGTCCAGCAGCACCTGCCCCCCGGTGGGCTGGTACAGATTCTGCAGCAGGGCAGCCACGGTGCTCTTTCCAGACCCGTTGGGTCCCACCAGTGCTGTCACCTCACCAGGACGTAGCGTGAATGTCAGCCCCTGGAGGCCAGATAAGCACACCATCAGAGGCAGACCAAGACCCCCAGCCTTAAGACTGGCGTTGTCTTGTTACGTGGCACGATGTCATACCCAGGGAGAAAAATGGGAAAAATAGGGCGACTTCTACATCCTCCCACATGGAGAGACCTCTGCAATGATGCCTCCCCAAGGAGTACAGATGGACGTGGAGGTGAGGACGGAGGCAAGGACTGAGAGTCACTGTGCCACCCCCTTGATACAGACACCACCAGGAAACGGGGGAGAAAATCACATTCCGAACCACATAGGCAAGGAAGAAA